ATATACATATACATATACATATACATATACATATACATATACATATACATATACATATACATATACATATACATATACATATACATAATCTATAAAATTGGAAGAATTCCTGACCTGAGTGACTGCTTGTGTATTTTGCAGAACCTATATAGCAGGCATGTCAAAATGGCACCCTGCAGGTCATATACTGCCCACACAGACCATGCCCACCCCAGCTTTGCAAGGGCAAAAAATATCCCAATACATCACAATATGGCCCATGATGCAATCAATTCTGACACCTTTGCTACATAGGAACCTACCTATTAGAGGTAAATAAAGAATCATTTAATCTTTCTAGGCAAATTTCCTGGGTCCTGCCATACGGCACTTCTTAATATACTGGAGTCCAGATGCCTATTTTTTGAAATGTAGTTGGCAGATAAGGAAAGCTAGTTCTGTGAATTATCTGGAATGACTACTAAGAGCAGTGGTAATATGGGTGTAATGAGATACACCCATAATGGTCTATACCACCTCATTGTGGTAGTACTTTCTCAATGATCCTCAAGCAAAGGCCTATATATAAAACACATGTAATAATCCTTCCAGGAAATGATTCCTCAAGTTTCAAAGAACTCAGCTGTATCTAGAGTGGTAAATGTAAAAGGACATGTGCAAACTCAAAGGCAGAAGAGATATTTTCTCTGGCAATAGAGAAGCTTGCCCAATCTGCCAAACCCTCTTATCTCTTCCCAAGCCCTCCCTCAAAGCTATTACTCCATCTAGATAAAAACATGCAGTTTGAAGATAAGCAAAAAACAATTGAGCTTCAATCTATCTTTTAATGTGCACTTTCATGACAATGTTTTGTATGAATCAACTTCTACAAGGCCTGTTGTTATATTTGGTGTCCCCCACCTTCCTGAGTGGAGATGGTCCCCTCAGGACAAGGAACACAGTCATAGCAGCAAGCAGGCTCTCCTTCTCGCTTTTGCCTGACAAATCCAGGATGACAATTTTCCACACATTGGGACTGAGGAAGAGACTAAGCAGAAAAACAAGAAAGGCCAAAGAAAAAATGTTACAAGTAATCATCAGTGGAAAATGGATATAGACATGAACATTAGCCAAATAGTCCCTTGGCTTCATTTGGGTAAATGTGAAATCCCTGACTCATTCCAAGCTGATTTAAGAGAAATACTTACTGGCAGATTGTTCATTTAGTTCCTCCCTTTTGCTTTTGGCATCTAACATTGAATCAAAGGATTTTTCTACTTAAGAAAGTCTGGAGGGATGGAATTGAAAAGATTTAGTGACAACCAATTCTGTTCCTCCTCACAACTTTGTTAACATGCATTTCTCTATTCTTCATATACTCTGTTTCCCTGAAAATAAGACCTCCCTGGTTAATAAGCCCAATCAGGCTTTTGAATGCATGCAGATTGATAATATGAA